CACGTGTTGGTTGGGCGCCGCCATCTTGGTGTATATCTAGGTATACAGATGGTGGGGCCAATATCGGCGTGTGAGGTCACCTGACGCCACGCATGCATGGCGTCATGTAACGTCATGCTCACTGCCTCCAAGATGGTGGTACGCATTCACAGAACACGCTGGTGGCCAACATGGCCGCCGCACATTCTCAAACAAATTATTATTATGTGTCTGAATACATTTCTCGTATATTCGGACATATAGTAATTCATTAATTTACATGTAGCCCGGGGTCTGTGTTCTGTTTTTTATTTTTACTTTTCTAGATGCACTTACTTGAAAAAAGGGGTCTGCATGACATCCTGACACTTTATTTTTATAGACTCTATTTTAGTTTGACATTTATTGTTTACCTTCTGTTGTTTTATTTGATAAGAATACTTCTATTGTGCCTACAAGTTTAATACCTTTGAATAAAAGTTTTATTTTTATCATACTTTTTAACATGTTTCTTTGTGGCTTAACAAAATAAGAGTCTTTAAATGGTGCGGCTATTGGGGGAAATGGGTGTGGTTACGGGGGTGTGGCCACTAAAGGGTGTGGCCACTGAGGGGCGCTGTAAAGCTTTCTCGCACAGGGCGCCTAAAGGCCTAAGGCCAGCCCTGGTTGAATTGTTGCTTCCTCTGGTCACATCTGCTGTCTGCCATTTCTGGTACTTCTTATGGCACGCCGCTTTTTAAAGTCTGACTATAGAATAAGAGCACATTCAGAAGGTAATAGCGCAACATGTCAGAAGCTGGATACATCTGCGCACTGTATCCAGCGACTGACAGGCTACGCAAAATGTCAAACAGGAAGGGGTAAGGCAAACTTATATAGGGAGGTGCGCGAGTTTAGTCTTGCCTAGAGCAGCACAAAACCAAAATACACCACTGCCCCCACCCGTGCAGTGTGGGTGTAGCACTACAAGAGTTAAGAATAATTATGCCAGAGTTCTTTAAAGGAGAACTATGGGGTCAGTGTTTTTCCCCATAGTTCTCCTTGGGGTAACCGGAGGACACAAACTAGCGTCCTCCCGTTACCCTAAGCTCAGTATACCGCGAGCTACAGCTCGCGGTATACTGAGACGCCGGAGCGGATCCCGACATGGACGTCGAGATCCGCCCAGCTGCGTGAGTGACAGCTGGCTCTGCCTATCTAGAGCAGAGCCATCTGTACCCTCCCCCGTCCGTTTTGCCAGTCAGTGCTGGCAGATCGGAGAGGGGAATCCAGCCTCTCCCCCTGTCACGGCAGAGAGCCGTGACAGGATCGAGAGGTGAGCGAACCCGGTATGTGTTCGCTCACCTCCCGATCTACTGAGACGACCTGTGACAGTCTCATTGTCACAGGTTGGCTAGAACTATGAGGTGAGTGAAAATCACTCATCTCATAGTTCTCCTTTAAGAATAGATTGATGAAAATTCTGTCTGACAGGCTGGATAATATATGCATAGTCTCACCAGCTCAGCCAATTAACACATAGTTTTTCCTTGATGTATATTTTTTTGTTGTTTCTGTGTCACACATATTTTTTGGAATCATGACCAACAAGTGCAATCTTAGTCTAATCAGACCATAACACATTTTCCCACATGCTTTTGTCAGACCTGATGTAGGTTTTTGCAAAATGTAGCAGGGCTTGGATGTTTTTCTTAATTAGAAAGAGCTTCCGTCATGCCACTCTACCCCACACAACAACACTGCGCATCACCAAAAGAACACCATACCCACAGTGAAGCATGGTGGTGGGAGCAATATGCCTTGGCGGCTGTTTTTCTTCATCTAGACCTTGGGCTATAGTTAACGTGGAGGAACTTATGAACAGTTGCAAATATCATTTCAATTTGGCACAAAACCTTCAGCTTCTTCTAAAAAGATAAAGAGGGATTTCACCTTTCGGCCTGACAACGACTCAAAGCATACCTCCAAATCAACAAAAGAATTACTTCCTTGGAAGAAAATAACATTTTTTGGCATGGCCCAAGCAGAGACTGAACCCGATTTAAAATCTGTGGGGTGGCCTGAAAAGGGCTGTGCAGGGGAGATGCCCTTGTAATTTGACAGATTTGGATCACTTTTGCAAGGAAGAGTGGGCAAAGATCCCAAGGCAAAATGTGCCATGCTGATAGAGTTCTACCCCGAAAGTCTGAATGTTGTTATAAAATCAAAATGTGCTTCAACAAAGTGTGCATATTTATGCAACCACATTATTGTAAGTTTATGTTTACCCTATTTAAATATTTCAATTTGTTTTTAATTGAATTGCACAGATATATTCAAAAGTGCAGTCTCTCCAGTTCTCCCAGAAATGCCTTAGCCCTAACAGTGCTAAATCCGTTACCCAATCTAAGACACTTCCTTCATGTGGGGCCCTCATTGCCCCCTCTGATGCAACCTGCTCCACCTGTTTATCTAGGAAGCAGTTTTAAGCCACCATATCTGAATTTATGGGTAAGCTCTCAGCTCCTTTGGAGGCCTCAGAATATCGGGTCCACAAGTGGGCCTAATCAGCCTCTTCATCAAAGTCTGTCTCTGACTTTGCCCATGTTGCTGAGAGTGATACATCCTCTTCTTCTAAGGATTTGGAAGAATACTCAATCTGTTGATATCTTTCCCACGCTTAAGGATACCATTTAAATCCTAATTAATACGGTGAACACTCGTCTTACCTTAGAGCAGTCTGTGGCTGCCTATATTGTACGGTGACTGGCCTCACCCTGAAACAATGTTTATCCCTCTCTTTATGTTTTGCTCAGCAATACCCTATTAACAAGGGGTCTTTTAAGAAATGACCAGTTCCAGACGTGTCC